TATTTGTATGGAACAGTCCATGAGAAGGGGGTGACAAGGTTAAGTTGAAACCATTGTGGTTTCTTTAATCTTATTTCATTGGGTGACATATGCCAGAATCTAGCAAGAGTCAGCATCCAAGCACACAACACTGAAGAGTAACAACTTCTGTCAATGAAAAGAGCATCATCATGTTTATACTGCTCAACATTCAAAAGAACATTTAAGTATGAAAATATTATATCTGGCACAAAGCCTTCAATATTCAGTATTTCACTTTTTCTGTTCAAATGGATCATTTATTTAGAAAAAAATTTATTTGAAAGTTCCTAGGAAAGAAATTTTTTTGGAAGCAGCTCGAAACAAAATGTAAACCCCGTTGAGGATTTGTTCTGCTGCTTTGATGTTTTTGTCTATATTTACCAAATTTGGCATCAGGATACTTTTCCTTTATCTTCTGTGTACCTAAACAACACAAAAAATGCAATCAGTCTCCAAAAGAACCAATTTCTCTTCCATTTATGATCAAGGACAATTATATATACATATATATGACTTTCAGTTCATAAAAATAGACCACAATAAACAGTGAACAAACACAATTAATGAAAATAATGTCTTATAAGCAAGCAAAACTTTAACAGGTGTATCAATTGTATTCTAATAATGCTAATAGCCTCCTCAAAGACCTATATATCTTAATATCAATATTGCAGTGACATACCAAGCATGGAAGCCAAAGCTTTGGGACACTCCATTTTAAAATCTTCTCCAGACAACTGTAGTTTTGCGAGCTTCTTGAGAATTGCCAGGGCCCCAATGGATCTCCATGGATCAAACCACAATGTAAGCACACTGTTTTAAACAGACAGAAAATTTTTAAAATCATATTACCGGGTAATATATAAATTTATGAAACAATTTTCTGATATGTAATGAGAAAATATCATTTATAAAGGGTTATTTTAATGAGCCAGAATTCACCATGGATCGGACAATATTCACCATGCATCAGAAAAACAGCAAATTGAACATGGATGGTGCCAAATCTCATCCCAGTGGCCCTTAAAACTCTCAATATGTTTTAAAATTACTGTGATTTGAAACATTTGTTTAGGAATTAAATTATCTTAATTGGAATGACTAGTGATCCACATATGAGGAGAGATTTTAGATACATCACATTGCCCCCCCCCCCTCCCCCCCTATAGGCCCTGCAATGTTTCGTAATATGGCAACTTGCTACTCTGAGTGTTCTATTTTCTAGTTGGAAGAAATTGAGTCCACTTCTAGATTCCACATAACCATAACTTGTACTTTCACTGAGCATATTGAATTTATTTTTATTTTTTAATTTCTGAAGAATCAGCTGTCAGTTGGATATTACACATGTATCTCTATACAAAATGGGATTACCCATGCATCTCAAAGTGTCTGATGCATGCTTAATTTGTGTCCGATGCATGGTGGGAAAAAAATCTTTAGAAAATTTATATAGATTTTGAAATAAAATTTTCTATTGATTTATCAATCAACGACAATCATTGACAAAACTCACCCAATTTTGACTCGTTCCCCTCCGCTGGAAGACAAAACAAGTCAATACACGGAGACATTCAGGTTTGATGCAAGTTAATTGTTTAAAGTTGTCCGATGCATGGTGAATTCACCCTACATAATAATTACATCTAATTATCAACAAAATACCACATGTTTCATGATTTATAAGATTTTTAAAATACCCCCTTCTCCTTTCCATTTCCAGGGTAGCCTTAGAACACCTGTGTAGAACTTGATGAAGGTCATGATTACTCAGATCTTTAATTAGAACAACAGAAAGCCTGATAGGTCCTTTGATGGCTGCCAAAAAAAGAAAAAAAACAACAAATTATTTAGAAACCACTTCCAATCTGCTTAACTGTGAAACTCTTAACAGACTGAATTTTAATGTGCAACATCCCCTTATGAAAACTTTTTTTAGTGCTTGATACTGATCAGAGCAACAAACCATTTGTCAACAGGGTGTTTTCTTCTTCACGTTTCTCGTGTTTGGTCTCTGTTTTCTCTTCTTCCTCTTCTTCTTCAGCGTCGTCCTTCTTAACTTCCACCAACTCTGCATTCTCTGTTGTATCCATTGTGTCTAGAATTTAGATCAAGTCTCTTTGAATTTAAATTGCAAAACTGAACTGACAATGTAAACCTTCATTACATGGATAAACTTTCATTAAAATCATATGAATTTAGTAAATATTTTCTTCAACATCTAAAATAAACAACAATTTTTTTTCTACTGGGTCAGGGACCAACCTAGACCCAAAAATTAGGGAGACTTCACTTCTCCCTCAGAGAAATTTAGGGAGAAGTTTTGAAATTTAGGGAGACTTCTTGGCGCGCATGACGCCCACTGATCATTATAAAACTTTTTAAAAATGAAACTATTTCATTGTTTATAACTTGAAATACTTTTCAATAATTTTTTTCTGTATTGAAATCCTAGTAAAAATAATTTAAGAAGGAGAAAAAGAATCTGAATTTTTTTTCCAATTACAAGGTATATCTAGCAAAAAAAAAAAGAACAACAACAAACAAAACAAATCAAATAAAATAAATAATGACAATGTAAAAGTTTTTTTTTCATTTTTTGCATAGGCTAATAATTAATATGCACAATTAAATTTTAAATTCTATCTTTTCATTTTAAATTTGAAGCCTCATTGCATAGTCATAATTTTGTTATTATCTCTTTAAAATTTGTTTTCAATCTTAATTTTTTTTTCTGAAAAAGTTTTGATGTACTACGTACTATATGCATGCTGATTGAACTCTGTATATCAGACATGTAATTTCTTAGACAGTCAATAACTACACAATTTAACAGTAAAATAGGTCTGTATTCACAGCATGAATTAATTATTTGGCAATAAAAAGATCTAAAATCATCTTCAACATCTTTGGCATGACATCGATATAGCTGACCAGCTGTTTTGCGTCTGGTTGTGCATAACTTGTAACGATGGACTTTATCATACCCGGAAGTGTAAAATCTAGAGGAGTTCCGTCAGAGTATTCGATGCATTGGACATTAGTAACAAAACAGGTGCAAGTGTCCTGCTGTTTCGTTTATTTCAGCAGTAATAAAACAGGATTTATAAACTACTGACGATTCTACCATGTTTCTTAATAGATTTGCTTCAGGATTTTCAATAATGGGGTTGCAAATGTTAGGGCGACTTTAACTTCGCTTTCATGATAAATTACGGCGAAGTTTGGAGCCCAAAAGCGACTATTTCGCCTCAGTCGCCCCCTCGGTTGGTCCCTGCTGGGTAATTTCATATTAAGGTTCAACTCTTTACCCCTTTATAATATCAGTGCAACCGCTACAAGTATTGTAGACAAGTTGATGAACTATAAAACTTACAAACATACAGTCATGACCATTTTAAGAAATCGCCTTCTCCTGAATGTCTGGCTAAAATTCAAAACTTTTTCAACCTCCAGGAAACAATATTTATTATTCCTTTTTTTCAGTCCGTTAACAAATATGTTGAATTAAATTTTTCCTGGGGAAAAAAAATTTCCCTATAGAACCAATTCTTTTTTATGCCATGAACATGATGAAAGACAGGGCAAATGGACTTTATTTAAAAAATAGTCTAGAAACACCCTTATAACATAGTATTTGATTATCCAGTTTATCAGTTTTACCTGATTCCTTTTTTGCTTCTTCTTCCCCAGCTAACAACTTCTCCTCCATTGCTGCATCATCAGCCATTTTGATCTAGAATTGTAGAAATCATACAATATACAAATTATCTGCCAATGAATATACATGTAATCACTGCATGCAATATGTATCATGGTGCTTTGTATTGTCGCATTCTGGACTAAGCATTTCCAGCTAAAAACAACCAAAAGGCATTCTTTAGGACAGTTGATGAGGATAGACTGTGAAAGAAATTTCAGTCTTTTACATCCTTATATGGAATTAGAATGCTTTTTTTTTTCCTTTCAAATTTATAAGTAACTTATTTTCAATAGTAGAAAAACCTGAAGTTTCCGAATTTGTTTTCCCTTTCTATATCCATCAACTGTCCTAAAAGAGCGTATTTGGATTGTTTCTAGCCTGAAATGTGTATTGTAGAGGCTCTAAAGGGATAATTTAAGCATTATGTCTTTAGTTTTAGGAGAATCTTTATTTGATAGATCTGAGTAAAATAAAGGAAAAAAAAAACAAAGGTTGAAACGAGGAAGGGATCCACAATGGTGACTTCCCTTGTGTTGTTTTAATATAGTGTACACGATTTTTAAATAATTAATAATTACACGCCGGGAGCAGGCCCCTGTGACCCAACCTAATCTTGATTTGAATAATGCATTTAATGGGAAACAACTCTTTCTATTTTCTAAGTAATGATGCATGTCAATATTGAATATTGTATTTTCAGTATTGGCAATTTTTAAGGGCTACTTGATACAATTTCATTTTATATTTGCAAATATACGAACAAAATTGAAACAATCAACACTTAGTTATTTACATGCTGCAGTTTGTAACACAAAATGAAAGAGGATGGAAAAATAAATCACACCATAATGTCACCTCAGTGAATGTCCAAAGCATATGGTATATTCTTGCAAAGCTAGAGTTAATTCTTTTTTTTTCAGAAATACGCATATTCAAAAAACTTGTGACCTTAACTACAAACCTAAGTCTTTCTTTTTTTTCTTCTAAATATTTGACAATCAGCTTTCGAAGTAGGCCAACACCACGCCACAGAGACTGTCACGTGATATAAACCTCCCGGATGACATATGCAATTAGTAAACCTTTCGTAAAGATTTCGTATACTAAACGAAAACGCGTTTCTATTATTTTTAAAGTTTTTGAAGATTGGTGCTTCGATAGAGAGATAAACTAATCCTTATTTTTTAAATGTTTATATCGATGAAATCTTCCAATCATTTATAAGTGCATACTGATTCACATTCAAACAAAATATTCCATGAGGGACTAGTTTTACACAGTGCCTCTACTTTCATTTTATCAACATCCCATGTGTTAAACTTCAATATGTGATGAAATGGTTCAGCAATGTGATTTGACATTTTAAAAAAAGCTTATTGTAAGTAATTTTACTTATATTAATTTTATGTAGCAAAACATTTAGGCCTTAGTATTGCATGAATGACGTGACGTTGTGTATAGATACTACAATAATAACGTATATAAGCTGATGTACTGATATATGGAAATAAACGAACAGCAGATCAAACTCAAAAGCCCATTGAAACGATACATATCGGGAGCAGAGAAAACATGGAACTATAAAACCTCAGAGGTGAGATTAGATGCCATGGAGCAAATGTATTGATTTATCACACATCACCAACATTTTGCTTTCCCAGAAATCAATATATCACTTATCACACATGTATATAAGCCTACTTGAATCCTTTAATAACTTTGATAGGGCTTTTTTTTCATTTTTACGTGCCCTTTTACTTATGTATTATGAGGCCTTGCTATCAAATGGTCATTAAAAGTAAAATTAAAGTTGTTCCCCTTTTTCTATGGTAATTTGTCAACTTTTCTAAGACTAGTACTTTCATTTGTTATCATTCTTTGGTCATTCTGCTGTAGGGTCAATTTTAGATACATGTAGAATATTTTGTAGTTTAAATGATATGCTTAAGGCTAAATTTAGCTTTTCAGATTGAAATTAGTGTATTGTCTGTTGTTTTCATTGTTGTTGTATAACTTATATTAAACTTTACACATTATTATCTTCTTCAGAGCTAACTTCAACCAAACTTGTCAAAAATATCATGTGTTTAAGTGATTCACAGTTTATTCAAATTAAGTGATTTTGGTGCACACCCTCTTCCAAGGGTAGTCATTTTTAGCTCACCTGAGCCGAAGGCGAAGGCTCAAGTGAGCTTTTCTGATCACATTTTGTCAGGGCTCGACATTAACTTTTTTTCCTACTTGTCCATTTGGACAATTGACTAAGATATTTACTTGTCCGAACTTCAACTTCACTTGTCCAAAAAATTTTTAATGAATGTCTTGTTATGTCAACTTGAAATCAATTAAAAAAATAAATGTGCTTGATTTATTACTGTCGTTATTGATAAATAAGACAAACACATATAAAACAAAATTTTATCTAGACTTCCTGTCCTGACAACAGCATAAATGTTCGCAAGTGAATCTGTAATATCAATCAAATATATTCCAAACTCACAAACATCGTAAGATCCACGCCATGCAATAGTATGGCTGCAATTAGTGAACATCGATCCCGATCAAGTTTGAACTTACATAGCGGTTGATAACGGGATCGAAAGTCAGTTTTATACATGTACTGCTTCCGTTTTTACTCGATAAACTTTCCAATAGTTGTTTTTTATTTTATCCTTGTTATTATTCTAAGACTTCTTTACATAGAAAAATCACTTGTCCAATCGGACAAGTGCCCAGCAATATTCACTTGTCCGTAATTTTTTTTCATTGGTACCGGACAAGCGGACAAGCGTTAATGTCGAGCCCTGTTTGTCCGTTGTCCGTCTGTCTGTCTGTCCGTCAGTCTGTAAACTTTTCACATTTTCGACTTCTTCTCAAGAACCACTGGGCCAATTTTAACCAAACTTGGTACAAAGCATCCGTTGGTAAAGGGGAGTTTGAATTGTTAAAATAAAGGGCCAAGTCTCTTCACAAGGGGAGATAATCAAGAGAAGACAAAAATAGGGTGGGGTCATTAAAAAATCTTCTTCTCAAGAACCACTGGGCCAAAAACTCTGAAACTTACATGGAAGCATCCTGGGGTAGTGTAGATTCTAAATTATTCAAATCATGACCCCCGGGGATAGGGCGGGCCGCAATAGGGAATCAAAGTTTTACATAGAAATATACGGGAAAAATCTTTAAAAATCTTCTTTTCAAGAACTGCTGGGCCAGAAAAGCTGAAACTTTTATGTAAGCATTTTTAGGTAGTGTAGACTGTAAATTGTGAAAATCATGGCCCCCGGGGGTTGGGCGGGCCACAATAGGGAATCAAAGTTTTACTGTAGATCACTAAATTTTCACGACACCTTATTTTCGCGAGATAGTCATTGACTCTTGATTAGCGAGATAAAATATTCACGAATTGTGGTTATTGCCCTATATAATCTTAAGGAATACTATTATGCGCGAGAATTTAATTTTCGCGAGCATACTGTCTCGCGTAATTACGCGAAAATAAAGTTCTCGCGAATAAAAAGTGATTTACAGTACATAGAAATGTATAGGAAAAAACTTTTAAAATCTTCTTCTCAAGAACCACTGGGCCAGAAAAGCTGAAACTTATGTGGAAGCATCCTTGGGTAGTGTAGATTCTAAATTGTTCAAATCATGGCCCCCGGGGGTTGGGCGGGGGCACAATAGAGAATCAAAGTTTTACATCGAAATGTATAGGAAAAAATTTTAAAATCTTCTCCTGAAGAACCACTGGGCCAGAAAAGCTGAAACTTATGTGGAAGCATCCTGAGATTGCGTAGATTCTGAATTAAAAAAATTAAGACCCCCAGGGGTTGGGTGGGGCCGCAATAGGGAATCAAAGTTTTACGTAGAAATATACCCGGTATAGAAATAAACTTTAAAAATCTTCTTCTCAAGAACCACTGGGCCAGAAACGCTGAAACTTATGTGAAAGCCTCCTCGGGTAGTGTAGTTTCTAAATTGTAAAAAATTGTGACATGGGGGCGAGAGTACGGCGAGGCCACAATAGGTATTACAAGGGAGGAAATCTGGTAAAGAACAGCATCACCAATGTTACTAAGGTGAGCGATGTGGCCCATGGGCCTCTTGTTTTTAAAATAATGAAAAATGAATGGGGCTTTAAGAAAGTCTTCTGATGAAGAGCGAGTGGGGCAATAATTTAGATAAATCTTAGGTGAAAGCTTTCTGACATTTTTGTCAAATCTTCGTCCCCAGGGTAGGGTGAGACCACCATGGATCGATTAATGCATGATCAAATTTTTACATGAATATAAAAAGGAAGAAGGAATCTTTAGAAATCCTCTCTTCTAGAATGGCAAAGTCATTATTAGTCATATTTATATCTAAGTATCCTCAGGTAGTGTATAGAGAGGGCTACAATATATGATCTAAATTTTCCATTCATATATTGTGATTAATAGTCATTGAGAGTTACCCCTCTTATTCCCTGTTCACATGACGAGTTTAATTCGCAGTAAATTAATGCGAAGTAAACTAATGCGAATCAAATTAATGCGAATTAAATTGCGTTCACACGACAGCTAATGCGAAGTAAACTAATGCGAATTAAAAATTTTCTTATACAGTCAGGCGTCAGTAAATCTATTATGACGTCATTTGTAAATCACGTCATGTATGCAGAGCCATCCTTTGATACATCATGAAGTGACTATACAAGTATTTATTGATTTAAGTGCTTAACATTCCTTCTCTCAATTTTTGAACCAAATATAACACAAATACCTATATATAACCACCAACATGTGTCCTGTGACTTAATTCTGGCCTTACGCATGCGTAAAAATTTAATTCGAATTAGCTTCGCTTAGCGTTCACACGGAGCTAATGCGAAGTAATTGAATGCGCAGTAAATTAATTCGAATTAAACTAATTCGCATTAAATTCTCCGTGTGAACGCTTAACGAAGCTAATTCGCAGTAAATTTACGTTTAATTCGAATTAAACTCTCCGTGTGAACAGGGCATTAAACAAGCTGAACAACATTTGAAGTTTCCAATAGCTTATAAAAGAATTAAAATTATTAGATATTAGGAAGAGACTTTGTACAGCGACTATCAGAATTTTGGAGCGTAACAAAGATCTGATTTTAATCAGATTGACTATTATCCATGCAGGTGATATTTAGCTGCAATAGTGTAGCCCTCTCCCGATTTTTTCCCCCCAGAAAAATTTCAGATTGAAAAAAAAAGAACGAGTGGGCTACATTATAGCAGCTAAGTAAAACTGAGAAAAAGTATTTAATTCATATATAGTAATGTGATCACAGGAAGTATTACTTTGTAATTTTTCTCATTACAACTATAGTATATCTGTTTACATTTCATCTTATAATTATAAACACCACATGTCATTATTACAATGACAAATGAGAGGAACTTTGAGCACTGAGCTCACTAAGTGATACCCCCCGCCTCCCATATGGTTATAATTACAAAGTCCCTCTTTTGCTCTTGGAGACCCGAAATAAGTGTCAGATCAAGAAGTAAAATAAGAGGTGCACAATGACATTATTTAATAAAGAATCTGTGAAAGTATCATTAATTTTTTCAGTGTATAGGAGGATTTGCGGATAAGAGAGAGGTTTTCCAAAGCGTAACGGATGAACATATAGACAGACGGACATCCCAATCACTATATACCCACCCACTTTTCAAGCGGGTGGTATAATAATCAAGTCTTATATGTTCTATTTTTTCATTGTCCTATGCTGGACTCTGTATGTTGTCAGGTATTTTAAGCAACTACCTCACTGAAAAACACCTACACATTTCTTATATAATTTACAGATATATAACACCATACAATTATATCCTCAGAAGTGTTGACTTTCTTGCACTCACATTTAAATATAGGCGTATGTATGGTAAACATTAAGGGATAGATACAAAATCATGACAATTGACTATAATATAAGTTAAACTGCCTATTTTCTTATAATTTAGGTACCGGTACTTAAATGTTCAATTCAGATTTGTTTACATCTTACAGGACTTTGAGTTCAAGGCTTTTGTCCCCATTGATGCTTTAATTGTCTGCTTGAATATGGCAGATTGGTATAATCATAAAGCACAGAACAGCTGATATGGCCGACACTTGCATGACTGAAGCCAGACATGGCGGCCATTATATACCAGTACAAACCGGTGATCAGGTCTCCTTAATGCAGCACTGGGAGAGGATGACAATAATTTGCTCAGTGATCATAGCCAGTGATTCATCCCAATTTCAAGGCTGAGAGTCTGCCATAAAAGCAGTTCATACAAATCGTGCTTTAAGAAGGTTGATGTCATCTGATTCATTAAGCAAAAAACTATTCTCCATGTCTTTGTTCCTGGGGAATTCAGTTTGTTTATCTACTTTCTGGGAATGGACATGAATTTCTATCTTCCTTAATTCCTATTAGGAGAAATTTACCCTTAACATTCCATAGATCAAATTAAGTGAAAGATGTCTCCATCTTTTTGCAATCAATAATAATTTAAGTTGGACTTTCCCCTTATCTAGCATCAAGCTGTAAATAATTACAATATAAACTGATTATAACAAAGAAAGGGACAAAAACATTTCAATATTTCATGTGTATATCAAAATTTATGCCTTTCCTCCAAAGGACTGAGGGATATGTTGTTTTAATCCCTTGTGTGTCTTTCTGTGCCTGATATAGCTTGGTTTTCGAAATAAGGGTACTGTAAACCAACTTCTATTCGTGTGCGTGAAATATTCGCGAGTTTCGCGACCTACTTAAAGTCGCGAATATTAATCGCCGTGAACTATTTATTTTGCTTTGCTTTTGTAGAAAATGTTTCCTTTTTCATGAAAATAAATCATCGCAGATTGATTTTAAACTAACGAATCACGAAGAAAAGATGATGCAAATAATAGTTGGTTTACAGTATTACGAGGTAATAATAAACATGTTTATTGTAATCACATTCATATAAAAGTGCCACAGGTGAGCATTGTGGCCCATGGGCCATTTGTCAATGGCTGTGTTTAAGGCTGCTGGTTATAGATGGTGTATGAATGTCAGTTTTCTAGGTTTCTATGGAAATCTGTGCTATCTATGGTCTCATTAATGACTCCATGTTACATGTATTTACACATTTATGAACACTGCAGCTAAACCTCAAACATTAGCATATTGAACAAATTAGCTCTGCCCTTGGTCTAATTTTGAATTTAAGCATGTTTAGTGCAAACATTAGGATGTCAGTTTTTTGAATATTGCAAGACTTTCCCACTTCTTTTTTACAGATAGTCAGAGATCATCATGTTTGTTTTGGCTGAAATGAAAGACACCATAAGGATTCCACCCTGGCTCTTCCACATCAAATTTAACGATGCTGTCATTGAGGCTCTAAACAAGAAACTGGCAAATAAGGTAGCAGTTTGGTGTTTAGGCTAGAGCAAGAAGATCCTTAAGACAATATCATTTTAATGATAGAACATTCTATCTAGTGCTTGGATTAAACTTTATTTAATGTAAATACCTGCAGCTAGTAGACACTTTCATTAAAAGAATAAAAGAAGATAAACCAGTTTTTCATTAATTAATTTAGAGACTTGAGAAACAAAGACAAAAGAGAGAAAACTTGATTATTGCAGAAGCTTTAAAAAACATTTATGAAAAAATGTTTAAATTCAGTGTAATTTTCTTCATGAAAACATGGTAGGAACTATATGCATTTTATATACTTTAGGAACACCAAAATGTACATTGTTTTGACACAATTTCACTTGATAAAAAAAAAATTAACCTTGTTAAATTAACGAAAAATACAACAAATACATTGTACAACAAATATGCGTTCAAAATTAATTTGTCACTTTTTTTCCTCGGAATGTTTGTTTGCGTTATTTAACTTTGCAACGTACGTCACAAATGGCTCTTACGTCTATGAAGCACACCAGATTTGAAGGGAGCTAAATCACATTAAATATTACCGAAATAACAATTATGAAGAGGAAAAATTAGAGAATGTAAATATAAGAATTGAATTCATATTTAGGGATGTCTATAACATGCAGTATTTAATTTGTCAGCACGGCCAGGTGTGTTTTAGGACTGAAGACATCCCAAAATATGAATTCAATGCTTAAATGGGTTAAATCGTGTTCTAAGAAAATTTGATCAAATTATTATTTTTTGCAACTTTCCACAATTTCAATCTTTTTAATTTATATACAGTAAAAATTTACATAATATTGTGGATTTTTATTAAGCATTATCAATTTTCTCTCTCCATTTCAGAAAACTATTTATGAATTATACAAAAAAGATTATTCAATATACATATACATATATATGCTTGTTTATATATTACACTGTGTGTTAAAATCCAATATCTATATGCATCAAATTATGGAGAAGCAAAAAAAAAAACCCAGACAAAAGTAAAAATTACAATGTCCTCATATCAATTACCAATATAAAAATGTTTTTTCAAATAGAACCCTTACAATTGCCATCTCTTAAAGAACTGGGTGTCTTCCATATTTAATGCAAACAAGTATTTTTCAAAACTATAGTACTTTTTATCTTTATAATAAATTTTTATTTCTCATCAACCAATATGCTTGAGAAGAATGTTTTATATTTTATTACATAGATTTTGGTATACAGAACTGTTTTACAAAACAATATATATGAAATTTAAAAGATACTCTTATATCATGTATATTCTTTTTGCCAGAAATATGTAATATAACAGAAATTGGGTCTAAGTTAATATTTTTTCCAGTATTTTGTATAATCCATTCTTCTAAACAATCCCATATATTCCCTTAACAGGAAGACAGTAAGTTTTAAAAAACTTAGTACAAAGCATCCTTGGGTGATGGGGTAGATTAAAGAAGGGAGCACAGGGGATATATATCTTTAATTTTAGACAAAAAACAACAATTTCTTCTTCTCAAGAACCACTAGGCCAGAAAAGCTGAAACCATTGGAGATTTGAATCTTTCAAGTTTGTAAAAAGATCTTTCCAGTTAATTGTCATTCATGACCCAAATCTCGGGTCACATTTTGAACACAAGTTTTAGATAGAAATATATAGGAAAAATCTATTAAAATCTTCTTCACAACAACAATTAAAGGAGCTGAAATGTGTAGGAAGTATATTCCTGGGGTAGTGTAGATTCTAAATTGTTCAAATCATGACCCCCATTTTGGGGCCAAAAGGGAATCAAAGTTTGATAGAAATATATTAAAATACTTTTAAAAAATCTTAAATTTTTTGGCAAGAAAATTTATATATTAGTTTAAAAAACTACAAATATTTTAAATTGTCCAAATTATGACCCTTGGGGTACGATGGGATCACAATAGCTACTGTAAATCACCTTTTATTTGCGAGAACTTTATTTTCGCGTAATTACGCGAGACAGTGTCCTAGCGTAAATTAAAGTTTTTACAATGGTTTTATCCTGAATAAGATTATATACAAAAATAACCAGAATTCATGAAATTTTTTTCTCGCTGAAAATTCAATGTATATAAAATCAATTATGATTGGAAAATTTAGTGATATGCAGTGCCGGGAAATCTTTTCACTTTTTAGCATGGTCATTTTGTGGCCCATAGGCCTCTTGTTTATTGCTCTATTCTTAAAGTTCAGTTTCTCAAAATTTGTTTCAGTCTATCAAGAACACATAGTAATTATCTTCTCAGTTGTACATATATAGTCATGTTGATATTGTTCCTCTACAAAACATGTTGACATTATTTTGCAAAGAATTAAGATTCATCTTTTGCAAAAATAATTATTCAATTTTGTTATGCAAATGGCATGTTTATAACAATGCATGCACAAAATTTACAGCTATCTAATTACTTCTAAAATGCTTCCGAGGCACTAAGACTTTTGTAATTTCATTTTTCTTTATAGGTCGTTCACAATGTAGGCCTCTGCATTGCATTATGGGATATTACAAAACTTGAAGACAGCTATATATTTCCAGGAGATGGTGCTTCCCACACAGTGGGTGAGTTATGAAGCATCGGTCACATCCATCAACCTAGATTTGTCAAAGTGTATAAAAAACAGTAGTCTAATAGTGTATATGATTGACAGTTTTCTCATTTCATTTTTAGCTCTACTATAGAAGACCAGTATATATGCTTATGCGATAGTAATCTGTCGTGAAGCATTTGCATATATTCTGTAAACAATTTTTCAAAATGCTACTCCTCCTACAGTTTTTCTAATTTCAATATAACTTGGCACACAAGTAGACTACACTAAATACATAATTCTGTGTATGTTTTTGATCTTCGATGAACGGTGTTGCCGTGGTTACTAAAAATAGAAATTTCTGTGAAATTTTTCAAAACGCTACTCCTCATATATATTAAAATGATTTCAGTATAACTTGGCACACAAGTAGACTACACTAAGATACATAATTCTGTGTATCGGCAATTTTTTGATGAACGGTGTTGCCGTGGTTATAAAAATAGAAATTTCTGTGAAATTCTTTCAAAATGCTACTATTCCTACATTTTGGTTTGATTTCATTATAACTTGGCACACAAGTAGACTACACTAAGATACATAATTCTGTGTATCGGTTTTTGATTTCGATGAACGGTGTTGCCGTGGTTACTAAAAATAGAAATTTCTGTGAAATTCTTTCAAAATGCTACTCCTCCTACGGTTTTGGTCTGATTTCAGTATTACTTGGCAAACAAGTAGAATACACTAAGATACATAATTCTATGTATCGGTTTTTGATTTTGATGAACGGTGTTGCCGTGGTTACTAAAAATAGAAATTTCTGTGAAATTGTTTCAAAATGCTACTCCTCCTACAGTTTTGGTTTGATTTCATTATAACTTGGCACACAAGTAGAATACACTAAGATACATAATTCTGTTTATCGGTTTTTGATTTCGATGAACGGTGTTGCCGTGGTTACTAAAAATAGAAATAGCTGTAAAATTGTTTCAAAATGCTACTCCTCCCACAGTTTTGGTCTGATTTCAATATAACTTGGCACATAAGTAGAATACACTAAGATACATAATTCTGTATATCGAATTTTAATTTTGATGAACGGTTTGCCGTGGTTACTAAAAATAGAAATGTCTGTAAAATTGTTTCAAAATGCTACTCCTCCTACAGTTTTGGTCTGATTTCAGTATAACTTGGCACACAAGTAGACTACACTAAGAACATAAAGAGACTTTATCAACGATCATTATTCTAAAGTTTCAAATCCCAGCTGCTTAAGTACTTTTCTCTTCCTTTGCTATAAGTTGACAGTTTTCTCACAGAGATTTTTCTTTTAGTCATAAATTGTTTTTTGTAAATCACTGTTATGTATCATAGAAACTTGAAAGGGGAGGTGTTTCCTAGTAATTTTTCCAATATATGCCATTGTTATATGTAAAAATATTGCCACTTAATTGTGGTGCCCCATTGGTAATAATGTATGCTGACCATTTTTAATACATCAAGAAATTTTTGCTGGATTATAGTGCCTAAGATAACTCATTAATGTGATTACAGTAAAATCATGTATTATCATGGGGTCAAATTTTCATGATTTGAGGAAAAAATATTGGTGTGATTTTGTGGCTGGAGAATGTTTAGTAGTAATTGTATATGAAATTTTACATTTTGTGGTGGTCATGAATTTGAGGGTCTCTCAATACCCCGAAAACAACGAAAATTAAATCCCTGTGAAAATTTGTGATTTCACAGTAATTTTTAAAAGCAGTTTGAACTTGCAATTAAGAAAAATCCCCCCCCCCTCCCAACTGAAATTTCAGGAAATGTCTGGTTATATGGGCTCCCCATACTGAAAAAAATGCTTCTTACAGGCCTATGTTAGGTTAATTTTGTGTCATGGAGCAAAACCATTGAATTTTTATTACCATATTTACGATGATTTTTTTTTTTTTTTTTTTTTTTTGATGAATTTTTTGCATGTCTTATTTTTATCAATTATGAGTATTGGCTTGCATTAACTGTAATTGTTTTGCCTTTGAAATTAAGCAATTACAAGTCACACCAAAATTTGATATAAATTTTGGCACATTTTTTGCCTGTCGTAATTAGGGTTCAGAAATATGACAGTAAGGAAATAATCAACTTTCAATGTTAGTTTATACGAAATTCCTAAACGTGAATAGACAATTGAAATATCCTTTGAAATTAGTTCATTTCAGATATGTAATTTTCCGACCATTTATGGATGAAATATTAACTGGCAAAACAAAGAGCTGCAGCAAAGAGGGAGTTCACGGTAAATTTGCTTCCGAAAAAATTTTTGGTTAATCATTGCTTTGCATGCTAGAGTTAATTACGTTACTGAAAACTTGAACAAAACAAATGTTTGCACTGTTACCATAAATTTTACATGGGATAATTTCTACGCAAATGCGATTATGTCAGTATATAAACATATTTATAATTTAGATTGTTGAAGTGCAGTGCATGTGGGAACATGGTTTAGTAGGTCAGGTTTTATTGTGATGAACGAAGTGCAGTGTCTTTTGTCTTCCGTTTCAGTGTCAATAGGAATATTTGATGACATCTTGATTCCAGCAGATGCCATGCAGCATCCCTCTAGGTTGTATCCTTTGAAATGCTTCCAGTTCGTTGCATGATAAATCCCATCTTCTGCTGGCAAGAAGACATAACAGGAAGAAACCCAGAAGCGTTGGATTTGTCATCTCGATTTTTTTTTTGTTATTATTACGGGCTGACATTTTGAGAGGAAAGTGTGGGTTTTCAGTGCAAAAAAACAAGAGAAATTGAAATACTGGAATGAGACCAAATTGTGGCTTTGTGAAATAGGTTACCAAGTGAAAATTCAGTAATTGTTGTTCACATAAAAAGCTTCTTATCGCTTAATATGTCAACTAAGAAAAATAAGGGTATCTTTGTTTCTAGTTTATTGTTAAAAATGAAATATGTATCTCCTTATATGTGCCTCAGATTCAAATCATTGTATGGAAAAATTAGGCTTCTTCTTAAATGAATATCCAAAATCTGAATGAAACATCAATGAATTTGCTTGTATTGTAATGTAGACTATTTTTCTTAATGCATTAAGTTATTTTTGTGACATTCCTTTTAGGTCAAGGTTATTTTGGATAATGAATAGGAATTTTGTAGGGTTTATACTTAAGGTTGTTGATTTATCTTCATTCATAATCACACCAAAATTGTGTCTTCTTAATTTAAGGCCATTCTTCACTTAGATCTTGTTTGAAGCATGATTTCAAAGTTTGCTTCTTTTCTGCAAGTTTTGGACTGCCAGAGAGCATTTAATTTATTGAGTATATTGTTTAATTTTCATAAGAAATTATGCTTATATATTAATCTCCTTCCTGCAAAACTGGAATGGTAATAGGTTGTCTGCATGTCCATCAGTTGGTCTGTCATCCCATTTAGAGTGCCACCATCAGATTTGACCATGACTCCCTCAAAGTATGTAAAGGAGACAGATATGATTCTTTTTCAGGATAATCTTTTCTGTTCAAGTAAAACATTACAAGATAAATCATATGATAGTCCTTAATTTCCGTTTACTGGTGATTAATGAACAGAAATAAATTGAAAAATCAATGTCTAATGAAATTCATGCATATTTTACCAATATTCTCATGTTCAATCACTATGCATCAGATACTTTTAATTTGACATAAGTCCTTGACCACATGAAGTGATGACAAGGAACAGCTGTGGGCCTGGGAGTATGAACTGGAGGATGGTAAACACGACCTTTTTATGGACATTGGAGAAGAAATTAGGTAAGAGTCCTTTAACATTTCTTCTTGTGAAATTGTAAGACAACTGAAGTAATTTGTGCAAATTTTGTGATCATACAGAGAAATTTTACAAAATAAAAACATGCAAAATGTTTCCTATTAAGGCCTATAAATTCAATTCTTTTTCATGTGTTTGCAGAAATTATGCTGATGCTGTAGGCTTTGCAAAAAGATGCTAAGACAAACAATTTCTTGCACAAACCTAATTCGATAAATTATTCTAAGCTTACTGCATTATGTGCTACTTGAAAAGCATAGCAATTTTGAGTTTTTCGATTGGTTTAAGGTTTTTCCCTCTGATAAGAAAGATAACTCTCTCTCTAGGATAAATGACAGTTTTTCCTTAATATAAAATTGATAAGTTAATTTAAAGACTATTTATGTCAAATTTTGCCCCACAAAGTTTGGCTTAAAATGTGTGTGTACATCTTAATTAAAATCAAGATTTTTTTTCTTTGAAAATTATTTATGTCAGTAAACAGGGGTTGATGTACCTTAATGCACTGAGTGGTTTAGTTATAAACTGTCAGTTATGAAGAGATTATCACTGTCTGATGAAATGCAGATCATTTTCCCTAAATTTTATTTCAAGCAACCACCAGTATAGATTCAGTTTCATTTAGTTCACAAAATGAGATTTGTTTTTGATTTTCAGATATATTTTGTTTCATTTAATATTTGGTCCACAAATGTTTTTTTCTGTCAATCCTTTTTCTTTTTAAAAAAAACATGAAAAGAATATACAATATCAAAGACGTAACATGGAGGTTATTGGCTTATTATATAATTTTCTCCAAATTAGCTGCATTTAGTCCTCTTTCTTTTTATTGTATATACCAATTAGCTTTTATACTAAAAGGGGTATCATGTTCACCCCAGTATCTAGTGAGTTCTGAAATAGATTAGGTCTCAAAGGACCTTGTTCTATTGATCCTTGGCAGTAATAAACTCCCACTAATGGTTCCATTCTTCAACATGGCTATCACTTTGACATGGACCCTGATGCAGTTGAAAGTCCCGTTTTTATTCTCTCTACCAACTTCCTGTCAAGCTGACAACCTAATTAGTGCCACAGGGTGACAAAAATTAAGTTTGCTAGGAAGCTGGGGTTAAAAGGTCAAGTTTTTTATTCAAGTATATTTGGGTTTTGTTTCATGTGCAGTAATGAGAAAGATATTTTCATTTCAACATTGATTTATGAGATGGTCATTATATAATTGCCTCAAGGTCTTGATTTTATATAAAATCTTTTATTGATGTTAATGACCTTGAATAAAAGTTATAAAACCCATCTTTACTTATTTTGTAATGGCTTTGAGGAACAATGTTCATGAGGATATAATCATTAGTCAAGGGATTGTTTTTATATACCATATAAGTAGAATTTTTAGCGAGGATTTAATTTTGGCATTATTAGCGAGGGTGCTGACATTGATAAGATTGAATATCGCTTAAAATTAAATGCGTATTATTTGTACATGTTGTAATAGCTACTTTTTTGGGTAGAAATCGCTAAATTTGTGTCTCGCTAAAATTTCTTCATATACGGCATTGGTCTTCTTTAGATTCTTTATATTTTTTGTGAATCCATTATTCAATTAAGACATCAAATCAAAAGAAAGTCAATTTGTAAGTCAACTGTTGGTCTAACCTGAGCTTTTGCCTGTTATTCAGCAAAATAAAAATGATCATGAGGAATTATATTTTGCAAGGATTTCTGAAGAATTTCATGAACCCCTGAATCCCCCTAAAATTTTGCTATATCCATATTTGTACTAAACAAGTTTTATACTTGTATCTCTATATAAATGATGTCTATGAAAGGTTTCATGCACTGAGCAGATCATAAACAATTTAATTTTTTTGGTGATATAGTTTGTTGCCTCTAGGATCTTTTTATCCATATTTCTCTCCCAATCTATAAGTATTATTTAGCATACATCCTTGTATTAAAACAGTATGAATAAGAAGCCCTCGTGCATAACCTTCATTGACTTTTTACAAGCATAAAACATCAAAACATGGAAGTTTTTGGATAATTTATTGCAAAATCTTTCTCATTTGTTTTGACTTCTTAAAAAATACATACTTGAATTTATTGGTGTCAGAATAAATTTTTAGATAATGTAGATGATTTAATTGTGCAAGATTCTTGTCTCAAGTATAGAGATATCTTATTTTTGCAGATGAAAAAAAGGAACTTCTAGTAGTTTTTATTAATCAACCTTGTTTGCTTAGAATAGAACAGAATTTAGAAGGGAAAGAAAAACAGAAAGAATTTGTTTCTGAATAAAGCATGCATTTGTACCACAATAGTAAAATAAGTTTGGAAAGAACATTTTGGGTGGGAAAAAACTAGGTGCAAAAATCAATCCCGTCACAAGAAAGTTTATTGAATTAGCAGTTGGAATGTTTTTTGTCATGCTTTTGTGTTTTTCAGGTTCCGTGTAGTGGATGAGATTTTTGTGGACACAACTCCCACAGGCCCTGATGGAACAGCAAACCAGTCTTCTGAAATAACTGACACAGAGACAAAGAAAACACCATATACCATAGTGGTAAGTTAAAGAATTCAACTGTAAAGAACTGTATACCATAGTGGTAAGATAAAGAACTAAACTGTAGAACACTGTATACCATAGTGGTAAGAACTAAACTACAAAGAACTGTATACTATAGTAGTATTAGTTATAGAATTCAACTGTAAAACACTGTATACCATAATGGTATTAGTTAAAGAATTCAGTTGTAAAACATCATTAACCATAGTGGAAAGTTAAAGAACTCAACTGTATAACACTCTATACCATAGTGGTATTAAGTAGAGAATTCAGCTGTAAAACATTATTAATCATAGTGGTAAGTTAAAGAACTCAATATTAAAACACTGTAACCATGGTGACATTAGATAATTCAGCTGTAAAACATTAACCATAGTGATAAGTTAAAGAACTCATCTGTAAAACACTGTATACCACAGCGGTATTAGTTAGAGAATTCAGCCGTAAAACATCATTAACCATAGTGGCAAGTTAAAGAACTCAACTGTAAAACACTGTATACCATAGTAGTATTAGTTAGAATTCAGCTGTAAAATGTCATAAGCCATAGTGGTAGGTTGAAGAATTCAACTGTATAACACTGTATACCATAATGATATTAGTTAGAGAATTCAGCTGTAAAACATCATTAACCATAGTGGAAAGTTAAAGAACTCAACTGTATAACACTTTATACCATAGTGGTATTAAGTAGAGAATTCAGCTGTAAAACATTATTAATCATAATGGTAAGTTAAAGAACTCAATAGTAAAACACTGTAACCATGGTGACATTAGACAATTCAGCAGTAAAACATCATTAACCATAGTGGCAAGTTTAAAAACTCAACTGTAAAACACTGTATACCATAGTAGTATTAGTTAGAATTCAGCTGTAAAATGTCATTAACCATAGTGGTAAGTTAAAGAACTCAACTGTAAAACACTGTATACCATAGTAGTATTGGTTAGAATTCCGCTGTAAAACATCATTAACCATAGTGGTAAGTTAAAGAACTTAACTGTAAAACACTGTATACCATAGTAGTATTAGTTAGAAAATTCAGCTGTAAAACATCATAAACCATAGTGGTAAGTTAAAGAACTCAACTGTAAAACACTGTATACCATAGTGGTATTAGTTAGATTTCAGCTGAAAAATGTCATTAACCATAGTGGTAAGTTAAAGAACTCAACTGTAAAACAATGTATACCATAGTAGTATTAGTTAGAATTCAGCTGTAAAACATCATTAACCATAGTGGTAAGTTAAAGAACTTAACTGTAAAACACTGTAACTGTGGTGACATTAGAGAATTCAGCTGTAAAACATCATTAACCATAGTGGTAAGTTAAAGAACTCAACTGTTGAACACTGTATACCATAGTGGTATTAGTTAGAGAATTCAGCTGTAAAACATCATTAACCATAGTGGTAAGTTAAAGAACTCAACTGTAAAACACTGTAACTGTGGTGACATTAGAGAATTCAGCTATAAAACATCATTAACCAAAGTGGTAGGTTAAAGAATTCAACTGTATAACACTGTATACCATTATGGTATTAAGTAGAGAATTCAGCTGTAAAACATCATTAATCATAGTGGTAAGTTAAAGAACTTAACTGTAAAACACTGTAACTGTGGTGACATTAGAGAATTCAGCTGTAAAACATCATTAACCAAAGTGGTAAGTTAAAGAACTCATCTGTAAAACACTGTATACCATAGTGGTATTAGTTAGAGACTTCAGCTGTAAAACATTATTAACCATTGTGGTAGTTAAAGAACTCATCTTTAAAACACTGTATACCATAGTAGTTAGGGCCCCGCAAGGATTTGCGGATGCCCTATAGTAATCACTCTGTCCGTCCGTCTGTCCGTCTGTCTAGCTGTCTGTCTGTCCGTCTGTCACTCTTCCGTCCACAAATTTTCTGTTTTTTTCTAATAACTTTTTTTATGGTTGCGCAATCAAGTTCAAATTTGGTATGGTAGTTCAGTAGGCAGAAATACATATTTTGATGCTAAGTTTGGTTCTCTATGTCTTCTGGTTTGGAGCTGGGGTGGTGGTGTAGATTCCTTAACTATGCATAAGAATGAACGGGCAACTTTGTTTATGGTTGCCCAATCAAGTACAAATTTGGTATGGTAGTTCAGTAGGCAGAAATACATATTTTGATGCTAAGTTTGGTTCTCTATGTCCCATGGTTTGGAGCTGGGGTGGTGGGATAGATTCCTTAACTTTATATTAGAATGCATTGGCAAAGAGAGATAACTGCTGAAGATGTTCCCATTGTAAACTGAATGCTGCTAGGAGTCCCTTGGGATTAATTAGTTTTCCTCCTGAAGAAAATCCAGAGCATTATCTTTATCTGTCACATTGAGATTAATTACCACTTCTGTCTGCAAATGAAGTTTGTTTTGAAGTTAAATCAATTTGGAATGCTATGAACACTCTGAAATGTGGATTTAAATATAAATTTTTATTATTTATTTTTGTTTGATAGTTATGATTTCATTGAATTCTAAAAAAAGAAATAGATTAAAGAAGATTTTTTGATTTACCTTTTTCACTTTTTTCACTTTTTTCACTTTTTTATAAATATATTAATTCAAGAATATTATTAATTTTTAATGTAGTTGTATAAAAACCCCATTCTATCATTAATACTGAAAAAAGTTCTTATTTTAAATTTAGAAGAAAATGATGAGAGAGGTACAATTAATCCCTTGGGATTAATTATCTAGCCTGCTGCAGAAAATTTAGTAGGCTTTTCTTTGTCACTTTAAGATTAATGAAAACCTTTGTCTGCAACTGCTGTTTGTTTGAAATTAAGGTCAAGCCTTCATGATATTTGCATTCATTGAAGGCTGGCATTTTATATAACACAAGCTTCATAATTGTTTAAATATACATTCAGTGTTAAGTTGTTATTTACTGCCTAATGTAAATACAAGGATATTATTTTCAGGTTTTTGAATATTCAGGAATTATCTTGAAATTTTAAGAATACAGTTGCTGTTGCTTATTCTTCGTACATTTTTTTAATCATTCCGTAAGCTGCACCCTTTTAATTCTACCCCATGGCGGGGCCCTTGCTGACTGGTCAGTTTTCTAGTATTAGTTAGAATTCAGCTGTAAAACATCAACCATAGTGGTAAGTTAAAGAACTTAACTGTACAACACTTTATACCATAGTAATATTAGTTAGAGAATTCAGCTGTAAAACATCCTTAACCATAGTGGTAAGTTAAAGAACTTAACTGTAAAACACTGTTTACCATAGTAGTATTTGTTAGAGAATTCAGCTGTAAAACATCATTAACCATAGTGGTAAGTTAAAGAACTTAACTGTAAAACACTGTATACCATAGTAGTATTAGTTAGAATTCAGCTGTAAAACATCATTAACCATAGTGGTAAGTTAAAGAACTTAACTGTAAAACAATGTATACCATAGTAGTATTAGTTAGAATTCAGCTGTAAAACATCATTAACCATAGTGGTAAGTGAAAGAACTTAACTGTAAAACACCATATATCAAGGCACATACTGCACCAGGTGATTACACCTGTAACAGAAAAGGGAAGAAAGTATGGATGGAACTGGATTAAAAACCCTGACCTCCTGCATTATACTAACTAGTCAGTTGCTGCTTACCACCATGCTACGCAGGTCAATAATTATGGTCAAATATAACGTAAACTATTACTACAAGTTTATCAAAAAGCTTTCTTAAGAAAATTAGGTGTGAAGAAAATATAGGGAAGATAGATTTACTTTATTTGTGTCAAGGTGACCTTGCTTTCAATTGTGCTCATGAAGTGACTTAAGCATTACAAATGTTATATGGGACCGATATTTTTCATTTTCATTTTTAGCTCACCTAAGCCAAACGCTGATGTGAGCTTTTCTGATCACATTTTATTCAGTGTCAGTCTGTCCAGCTGTCCATAAACTTTTCATATTTTCAACTTCTTCTCAGGAACGTACTTCTTGACCATTTTCAAACAAACTTGCCACAAAGTATCCTTGGGTAAAAGATATTCACATTTGTTCAAAGAAAGGCCACACCATCTTCCAAGGGGAGATAATTTTGAATTAAAAAATAATTGTCATCCTTTCAAAGTCTTCTTCTCAAGAAACCACTGGGTTAGAGAAAATGATTTTTTAGCTCACCTGAGCCAAAGGCTCAAGTGAGCTTTTCTGATCAAAATTTGTCCGTTGTCTGTTGTCGTTGTTGGCGTTGTTGTCGTCGTTGTCGTCGTCGTTGTAAACTTTTCACATTTTCATCTTCTTCTCAAGAACCACTGGGCCAATTTCAACCAAACTTGCTACAAAGTATCCTTGGGTGAAGGGGATTCAAATTTGTTCAAATGAAGGGCCACACCCTTTTCCAAGGGGAGATAATTATGAATTAGAGAAAAATTAATGGCATTTTTAAAAAATCTTCTTCTCAAGAACCACTAGGCCAGGAAAGATGAAACTCATGTGGAAACATCTTCAGGTAGTGTAGATTCACGTTTGTTCAAATCATGACCCCTGGGGCTAGGGTGGGGCCAAAATGGCTGACCAAAGTTTTACATAGGAATATATAGGAAAAATCTTTAAAAATCTTCTTCTCTAGAACCACTGAGCCAGGAAAGATGAAACTCATGTGGATTCATCCTGAGGTAGTGTAGATTCAAGTTTGTTCAATTCATGCCCCCCAGGGGTAGGGTGGGGCCAAAATGGCAGATCAAAGTTTTACATAGGAATATATAGGAAAAATCTTTAAAAACCTTCTTCTCAAGAACCACTGGGCCAGGAAAGATGAAACTCAGGTGGAATCATCATTAGGTAATGTAGATTCAAGTTTGTTTAAATCATGACCCCTGGGACTAGGGTGGGGCCAAAATGGCTGACCAAAGTTTTACATAGGAATATGTAGGAAAAATCTTTAAAAATCTTCTCAAGAACCACTGGGCTAGGAAAGATGAAACTCATGTGGAATCATCCTCAGGTAGTGTAGAACTGTAGATTCAAGTTTGTTCAAATCATAACCCCCGGGGGTAGGGTGGGGCCAAAATGGCCAATCAAAGTTTTACATAGGAATATATAGGAAAAATCTTAAAAATCTTCTTCTCAAGATCCATTGAGACAGGAAAGATTAAACTCATGTGAAATTATCCTCAGGTAGTGTAGATTCAAGTTTGTCCAAATCATGACCCCTGGGGGTAGGGTGGGTCCAAAATGGCCGATCAAAGTTTTACATAGGAATATATAGAGAAACCTTTTAAAATCCTCTTTTCAAGTACTTCAAATCCATGCATAGTGATATTTATATGGAATCATTCTCAGGTAGTGTAGATTCAAGTTTGTTCAAAGCATGACCCCCTAGGAGGTTAAAATTCAAGCCCCCCTCCCCCCCCCCCCCAAACTCAGTAAACTTTCAGTTCTGATCTGATATGTGCTTTTTTCTAGCAAATTGCTCAGGTGAGCGATGTGGCCCCTGGGCCTCTTGTTTTAATTGAAACATCCTTAGAAAATGTAGATAAAAATTTCTTCAAATCATGTTCAAATCATGATCCCAGGGGTTAGGATAGGGCCACAATGGGTGATCAAAGCTTAAAAGGACCAATCTTCAGTGATTGGGAAGGGCTTGCGCCATGCGCCATAGTCGCATTGAAGTGAAAAATGGCACATTAAATCAATCAATCATGGCGCCAAGGTGCGCATTCAATTTTTTGCGATGTTATCTGGAAATATTTTGCATACGACTTTCTTTCTTGTTTTACTTTCATTTTAAATGCAGTCAATCTCATTGTTTGAAACCTGTCAAAAAGTACTTCTGGTTAAACGAAGCGATACTTCATTCATTTCTATGGTAGGGCTGTTCCCTTTCCAAAACTGTCGTAATTTTAAAACAAAATACGGGTCAGTTATATTCTAAGCAAGTTCCTTTAAATTTGCTGCATTTCATGCGTTAAAAATCAGATTCGGTTCATAAAAATCGTGTTTTCTCTCATATTTCATATTTGTTTGTCACTTTGTTATTTCTTGAAATGGCCCTTCAGATTATATTGATGGCCCATTCATTTTCAAAATGGCCCATCAAAAATGTTGACAGTTGCGCCATAGTCCCATTGACCATTTTGGCCTTCCCAATCACTGAATCTTTAAAAATCTTCTCATATACATTTTGTACAGCATTAAAATTTTTCTTTTCAATGACACATAGACTGTGATAAGTCATATTGATGCAGAAGCATCTTTACATAATGTAGATTAAAGTGTGTTCAAATCACAGGATCAAAAGTATAGGAGAAATTCTTGAAAAATCCACCTAAACCATGATTAGTCAAAAGCATCCTCAAGTAGCATCCTCAAGTAGCAACCTCAAGTAGCGTTAATTCAAGTTTGTTCAAATTATCCCCACCTCATTGACCACTTTTATGTATAAGTTTTTCAATACTGAACTGATTTCTGCTTTTCCTAGCCAAAGTGCTCAGGTGAGTGATATGGTCCATGGGTCATTTGCTTCTGTTTGTCACAATTTTTGTTGCATAAATGGTTAACATTGGAATTTCCTGATATTTTGCCACTCCAAAATTGTAACCTTGAATTTGTCAATATTGTTTTTACTTGTTTATGCCAGACAATTAACCAAAAACATTTATTAAAACCATGTTTTAACAGCACCATCTGATCATTAATGGACAATTAACACTACAAAAAACACAGAAAAGTTCAACATTGTTACTGACATTTGAATCCATAAGACATCACTCTCTAATATCATCAGACAAAATTATGTTTAAAATTAAATGGAATATAAACTTTTATCATCCTTCAGTTTGAAAAGCACTGTTACAGTATTAAATTTGTCATGAGAAAATAAGAAAGTTTCTACTGTTATATGTCAGGCCATTCCAAGTTTTTATGCACCCGGATCCATAGATCAGGGGGTGTATATTGTTTTTTTTCCTGTCTGTCTGTCGGTTCATCTGTTTGTCTATCTGTTAATTGTCTATCAACTTTAACCTTTGCCATAACTGTTGAATCGTGAGAGATAGAGACGTCATACCTAGCATACATGCTCCACTAATTAAGCTCTTTCAAATGACACCAAGGTCAATGACCTTGTGACCCTGACTGTGACCTATAGGCTAAAAATAGCTTTTTTGAACTTTTGGCATCTTTAAACCATAGGAAAAAGAGACTTCATATTTGATAGGCATACCCCACTAATTAATTAAGTTCTTTCAAATGACACCAAGGTCAATGATCTTGTGTCTGATTGACTGTGACCTATATACTTAAAAAGCTTTTTCAAACTTTGTTGCCGCTGGACACATAGTGTTTCTCAAACACATCTTGTTTATAATGTATGTTTCGTGACACTCAATATCAGAAAAAACAGTCACAACCCTGAAGTTGATAATTCTGGTCAAAATCTTTTATTTCAGAACTGTAAAGTTTCTCTAAATATCTGTCTAAAATATGTCATATTAGGTAATTTATTTTAAGCATTGAATACACCAGTATATTGATTCTGCGCAAGATTTTTTTTTCTTTGAGAAAAACAGATGAATGAAATCTCCTCTTTTTTATAACTTTAAAGTTTTTTTGAATTTTGTGTGTGTGTGTTTTGTGCATAAAGGCAGCTAGGTTTTTGAAAGATGGGTGGACGATAGACATAGACATGGAAAAAATTTGGAATGAAATCATGAGAAAATAAGAAAAACTAAAGTTTATACTGTCAATGCTACTTGACATTTAACTCACTTAAGAAAGTAACACTCCTATTAATTGCAGAACTTTTTCTCAGTTTGTTACTATACTTTATAATTACTGATTTAAAAACAACTTTTGAAAATAAGTGATTGTTGTTTCTTCAAAACTTGTTTGTGCATTAATAGAGACATGACATAGTAAATGATTTTGCTACCAATAATAATAATTTCAACTTGGGAGAATAATCAAATAATAAATGAGTCATATAATCTGATTTTTGCAACAACAAAAAAATGACACAAATAAAAAAAATTAGAAATATATAGATGAAGGCAGTCCATGTCATTGATTTCAGTAAAAAATTGTATGATCACTTTGATCTCTATAATTCTTCCTCTGTAGGCTATTCGAGCCATTTATTTAGAGACCTATTGTATAATATATTGGTTTTATGCTGATTTAATTGCAATAAAATTGTATTTTATTGCAAGCATTCCAAAAATTATCTTGTCAGAAACTACCAACTATAAGAGCTTGGTTCAAGATATAATTATAGACTTCAGTGGAGGAATATTTCACCAGAATTATCTTTGACTTGAACATTAACTGAGTAGCAAGCACATTTTCATTCTATTTTAGAAAATCTTCACATAGGCAAAATTCAGTTAAAACAGTTTGTCATTTAATTAAACATGTTATGATAATGTAGTTCATGAAATCTGTATTTTCAGTACACTGTGTTTTATTTGATGTAATCTAAAAATCCCCATTCCATTTAGAAATTGAATTAATACAATCATTCGGATTCACAATCATAAAATAAAGTACAGGAAGTATTGTCTGTTTGGTAAACCCTTGATCATTATATTGATACTGTATGCTAAAGAATGAGGAAAGATTAAAGGGATTAAATATCCCCCCTCCCTTTATAATTGTTGATGTAACAGAGTTAAAACTGGCATTATGTATGTCATGTTTATAGTGAGGCCATGCTCTTACTAGCACTAACTACTGGGTTAACCCTTTAGCTCAGTCGGTGGAGTGTTAGATTTTAAATCTAAGGGTTGTAGGTTCAAGTCACAGTGTGGACATCCCCTAGCTAATCAGTAATACTGAGTTGCTGAATGTATTCTTTTTAATTGAGAAATGAGTACTATAAATTTTATTGATAAGTAGTGTCAATGTTCATATAGTGCTTTTCTATAGTTTTACTTTGCTTATATGTGATACTTACCTCTAAATAACCAATGGATTTTCCCTGTCAGTTACCTCAACCTAGTAACTGTTTCTTCCATAGGTCACACAGTGCTTTGCTACAATTTTATTAAATATAGAAATATAGTACAATAGTTGATAATATTAAGCATTAAGGTTCAACATCCCTCTGATAATTCATAAGTGATTTTGCTTTGATGTTAATGATTTCCCACAAGAAATGAACTTCTTCTTGAAATTGTGTGTAATTTCAGCATGCTTTGTGGGACAGAATTTGACAGAAATGTCCTTTAAACTTGATAATTTTTGAAAAGAGTAACATATCATTTATTTTAGTTAAACTCTACCTATCATTTCAGAGAATCAGTAAACCTTATGATATGTTTTTTTCCCAGATGTTTAATTTTTTTATAATAATTCAAAATCAGGGAATTTTACACTTGATAGTAATCATTTAATAATACTCCACAGAGAAGTTTCAATATTTTTTTTTTTTGGAATGAGTAGATAAGTAGAATTAAATTTATCAGTCTTTATCAATACAAGCAGAAAACATTTGAGAAATTTCTGTGGTTTTCTATTTTCATTTTTTCCTCCAGGGATCTATCAGTGAGCCAGGACTGGGACTATTATCATGGTGGAACTCCTGACATAATTTCCTGTGGAAAGTTACATGGCACTGCCACCTTAATCTGAATCTAGTGCATGTCATGACATTGCAAAGGAACACAATTGTTGTTCAAAGGACTACAGGGAAAAAGGAGAATCGGTGCAATGGATTGTGGGTCTTTTGTGTTCATTGAAAACTTGCTTGATAAACATGCAATTATTGCAAAATTTGATGAATGATATTTTTGTTATGAATTGTTTAATAAAATTAAGTTCACATCTGTACACCTGAGTTTCAATATTCAATATTCTCAAAATAGACAGGATTCATTTTTAATTTTTTTTTCTCAGAAAAGTATGGAAATAAATTTTGAGGGAAATTATAGTACAACGTATCAAAGAATATATATTAATCTAAAAACCGAGAAACTGAGCTAAATACTAGTGCATCTATTATTTAAGTCATCTTTGATGTATTTTGATCCAGTTATTTGAAAAATGAGAAAAAATCTTTTCTTTAAGAAAATACATCGAAAATTATCCTTCAGAAGTTTTTTCTATTTCCATTTCCCTGTGTTCATCTTCTTGTCCTTAGGCCAAATCTTTTCTTTATAAAACATGATGAAAAATTAATATTAAAGCACATGGAATGGTAGCAGACTATGTAATTGCCTTCTGGCATGAAACAAAAAAATCAGAAGCCAAAAATTATAGGTTTTCTGTAACACGTTTTTTGTTGGTGTATCTAATGATTTTCACCAAGAGGCTCTGACTTGTTAAAGACGTCTCTGATAACATTGTAAAGACGGGAAATAATTTTCACTGGCACTGGTATAGTTTCCTTCATTCAGGACGAGGGGCTTAAGTAGATAAATTGAGAAAGAGACAAAAGACGCTGATTAGAATTGATAAGTGAGACCGATTTTGCCAGTCACTGAGCCGCTAATGAATTGCTGAAAAACTTGTCTCCTTGTCGGATCGATGCTACGACATCAAAACTTGTTACTGAATCCGTTGAAAAATATTGGCTTTCCGACTTAACCGGATTGAACTTCTGCAGCTAGGAAGATCAAAAAACAGTTGATCTGATTGCAGAAAGCTCTAGCGCAAAGGTTGCTGCCCCTACTAATCACCACATCAGCAAATTCCATTTAATATTTATTTCTCTTTATTAATATGTAGGAAGAACGGATTGTAAATTAGGTTAATACGATGTGTAGGTAGAAGGTTGACTGCTGTGTAATTAACGTTTAATATATGATTCCTTCATCAGGTTTGGTAACTTATCGAACACGTTCTTAGGGTAGCTTAGAGTGAGTACTTTTTAGCGAGATAGAGGCTTTTTTCTACAAGCAGAATAGGTACAACCTGTAGTGTGATGCATACGTTGTTTCTACAAAAATGACTGTGACACATGATCGTTTTTTCACCAATAACTGACAAAATCTGAAATTATAGATAGTCCATTATGTTACCTGGGTAATTATGAATAAGAAAATAAAACTTAATATCATATAAGACTCGTTTATCTAACGCCATGGAAGCCACCGATCCCACCCAAGCTTTTGAGCATCTCGATTAACTCGAATTTTTGTCAGACGAAAAATAATATATATTTTTGTCATCAATATATATTAGTATTTCAGAAAGAAATTTGATGAAAAGATAAAGATTCCATGAAGATTTGATTTTACATTCATTTCCTGTTCAATTTGGCATTGATACCCCTTGGCAAAAAATATATAGGTCCGTTTTTTCTGTCCTTGAATCCCTACAACGCAGCATCGCATCACTATTTTATTTTGAATCAACAGATTCTGAAATTAAACATTTACAATATCTATCTTTCATGATTATTTTTTATTATCTTACAGTAACGAACAGAAACTGAGTACATCTCCTTTCTTACGATACTATAAGCTGATTATTAAAGCTGTTTTGCAAGTACATGTACAGTTAAATCCTTGAAATATTTAAATTTGAAAACTTTGTAGTCGTCATGTCCAGCTATAGTCTACGATATTCTTTAGAATCTGATTTTTAGCTCTGCTGGTCAGAGACCAGAAGAGCTTATGCGATAGTAATGCGTCCGGCGTCTGTCTGTCTGTCTGTAAACAATTTTTCAAATTGCTACTCCTCCTACAGTTTTGGTCTGATTTCAATATAACTTGGCACACAAGTAGACTACACTGAGATACACAATTCGGTTTATAGGTTTTCAATTTTTATGAACGATGTTGCCATGGTTACTAAACATAGAACTTTCTGTGAAATACTTTCAAAATACTACTCCTCCTACAGTTTTGTTCTGATTTCAATATAATTTTGCACAGAAGTAGACTGTTTATCATTTTTTGATTTCAATGAACATTATTGCATTGATTACTAAAGATAGAAACTTCTGTAAAATACTATCAAAATGCTACCCCAAATACAATTTTAGTGTGATTATAATATAATGTGACATGCAAGTAGACTACACTAAGAACATAAAGAGACTTAATCAAGGATCATTATTCTATTTATTGCTGTTGTAAAGTTTGAATTCTCAACTGCTACTTTTCTCTTCCTTTGCTAAAAGTAAAAACCAGTAGAACTTCAGTCTCGACAGAGACTTCTGGTTTATTTGAAGTTTACTACTACATGTACTAAAGATCTTTGCAGATTTTACGATAAATTTTATATTTGAAGATGAAATGCGGAGAATTTTTTTTTTTCAATTTGTTAATCATACATATATCAACCACTTGGATACTAGTATTTGATAACTACAAGCGAACATGTATATACGTCAAAGTCTTGGAACAACTGGTCTTCGAGTGGTGTGTTGCATTTTCAAAGAAATGACAGGTAGTGTGTTTCACAGAAGATATCCACGTAATGACTCATATAACACGTTAAACGTATTCAATGACATCCACTGCAAAGCCATTTTTAAAGTAGTGAAACATTGGCTGGATTTTTTTTTCTATTTTATAATCCGGAGATACTTAGAAATGGAACATAAATTTCTGTCAAAATTTCTAAGACATATTTCTCCTTCTTGATGAATTTGTAAAATTTCTGATTTATGGAATATATTGAAAAAATTGTGCATTTAAATGTCATTCACATACTAAACATATGTTAAATACTGTGAAATCATTAATATTCGTGGGGGTTAATATTTGTTGTTTTCAAGGTAAGAAGAGAACCACGAATTTATATCCACCACGAAAAGCAAAATTTATATATACGAGTACATATTTGTTACTTCCAGGATCCCCATTTAATGCCCTTTGGGCGCTTAAGTTTGAATTTTTCCAATACTTTCTAAAGTACGTACATATAAAAATAGAGGTATAACTTTGCTATATCCCAAAGTTTAGTATGTACTTCTCATCAACTTTATCAGAGGGGAAGATCACTGTAGAATACTACAATTATGAATTAAGATTATCATATATTTACATTTCCAATATCTTTGCCCGAGATAAAATTACAAATTGTTAATGTAATTCATTTCCCCATCAATGTATTGGCGCGGTTCCAAAAAAACACGTGCAGGGCAGGACAAACAGCTACACAGAAGCAGGGCTTGGAGCACGTGGATTGGCGGAATCAAAGCATGTAAATATGAGGAATAACTGTCAGATTTTTCAAGTTCATGACGATGATCAATCGATTGGCTTGCGTGATAATTTTATGCATAAACGTCTTCGGCATTTATGCAAATTATCACGAAAGCCAATCGATTGATCACAACATGAAATCGAAAAATAAGACAGTTATTCCTTAAATAGTTTGATATAAAAATAATTCAAAAGCAAAGTTTTCCCCACGACACATATCAGCTTTGTTTCAAAATAAAACGGAAAGGGAGATCATATAACCACAATCATGATCATGTAAAATGATCAACGATTGTAGAGATTTTGTTCTCTGTTGTTTGTTTAGTTCACCTGAGACAATGGCGAGACTGCCCATCTAAATTTTTCCTAAATTTCATTATCATCTCAAGACATATATCTCTTGTCTATTTATGCTTTTGATCTCTCCCAACCACATTTTAGATAAGAAAAATGAGGGGAGAATCATTTCAGGTGTTAATCAAACGAAAAGTATTTTACCAAACCAATAAAGCTGGATTTTTCTGACTGGTATATTCAATTATTCAGGGTAGGGTTAGGGAAAAGGTATAGAGTCACATGTTTCACAGAGGTATGGTATTATGCAGGAACAGTCTCTCGAAGAATATAAAATTCCGTCATAGAAAGTTTTGTTGACAGTTGTCCCTTTTTCTGGAAGAGGTAATGGATGTAGGTGAGCGATGTAACCAAGAAGCCTCTTTGTTTTCTTTCTGGTCACTATGATATCTCACCCTATAATGGATGCCTTCATCCTATCAGAAAAAAGGCTCCGGAAGCTAATTTCACGGTCAGATTACAATTGGTATTGATTTAGAAATACAACATAAGTGAACGAGAAAGATTTTTTCATTAAGAAAAATAAATTTAGTAGCAACTCTATTCTGGAATTTATATATTATGTTATTTAATTAATTAAAATAAGATGTGTAAGGAGATCAAAGTGGTATATTTTTTCATTTCAAAATGTCTCAACATTGTGGAAAACAATTTCATTCGAGAGGGGATGGCAATTTATTGCATGGTCAGATTATTCATTTTCATTCTTTCACAGGACAGAATGGTTAAATCGAGGATGACCATGGATAGGGTTTTTTACCGGTATTTTTAACTATTTTTACGATGACAAGCACAGTGCGCACAAAGCAACAATCCGAATTGGGGGGAAACTTATACCACGTCTGTTTCAGTAATCCAGATACTTCATCAACCCGGACAATTTGATCGGGAACACATTTGTCCGGATTAACAAGACTTTACTGTACTACAGTATATCACATTAAAAACTGAATTGCGAAGTTAATCTATATGTATGTATGTATGTATGTATGCTTTTTAAATATATATATTATAGAACAGGCAAATAAGGATACTTTCGATATACAGGTTTATGTTATCACAACATCAGAATAGAAAATAATAACATTTTTATAATATAAAACAAACACTAAACGGGTGTTGGTTAATTGGAATCTCTCTTGAGAGTGGATTTTCGGAGATTGTTTTTTTTTTACCAAATGCTTCATTAAGAGTGCTGGATTATAATAAGTTTAAGACATATCTGGCTGCTAGGTTGTCGGTTTTTATGCCATTGCCCTGTTCAACCGTCTGTCTGTATGTTTATCTTTTTGTCTGTTAGCTTGTAAAGACTTTCACATT